TTTGCAAATAGATCTTGACTTTAACACTTACTTCTACCAAGCCCGCCTATATAATTATTTGAATAATTGATAAAGCGCTCATTAAATATATTTTACAAACAGATTCGTAGATCTTGACTTTTAACACTTATTTCGATACAAGCTATTCAATAATTGATAAACTTTCATCAGTATATTTTACAAACTTGCTTTGGAAGCTTCGTATGTCGTCATACACCTTGTATTTAACAGTTTACTTTTTCTGTTTAATTTTATTTTTTTTAGATTCGATGGACCATGTTGTTGTCGGTGGAGTTCATTCTGAACGTTTTGTAGTTGACCTCCACATATTCGTGTTCTTCTACACGGCACACAGCCACCCCAGTCATCGTATGTGTCCCACTGGCTGACTTGATGAACATGGTTGACGACGACATAGCAAATAATCAAAATTAAAGAAATACTATGCAAAAAACAAGCAAGTAAAAAAGATTCGAAGGCGAATTGGTTTGTTTTTTATTCATTTATTTATTTATACATCCCAGATCAAAGGTCAATTTGATCAATCAGATTTTTTTTCAAGCCTACATCACCATAGAAGGATAAGCTTTACAAATTTGATTGTTTTAAAAAAAAAAGATCTTTTGTTTTGATCTTTTCTTTGTGTTCATTTATTTTTATCCCAGACTAAAGGTCAATTTGATCGATCAGATGTTTTTTCAAGTCTACATCACCATAAAAGAATAAATTTCAATTGTTTAAAAAATCAACTAAGCTTTTTTTTTCTTAATTAAAAGAAAAAAAGATCCTTCGCAAAGAAGAATCCTCATGTGAGTCAAAAGCCATTTGCGAATTTCAATTGTTAAAATCTTTCGTCCTGATCTTTTCCTCGTGTTTTTTTTTTTCGTCTATCGCTATAGAAGAATAAGCTTCATGCAAACATTAAAAGTCATTTACAAATTTCGATTGTTTTAAAAAAATCAACTAAGCTTTTTTTTCTTAATCAATCGACGTATTTTATTTGTTTTTCCCCAAAAGGAAATCAGATCATCCACTATCCTTCAAATGGTCAAAATCAAAGTTTTTTCTTATCCAGATCACCCCAATATCTCTCTCAAATGGTCAAAATCCAAAAAAAAAATTTTAATTCAACACGAACAATAAAAAAAAATTTGATTGTTTGTTTATCGATCATTTTTTTTAAATTGACAACGAAATAAAACCCCGGTCTCGTGACCAGAAAATATCACTAACACGTTGCGTGACAAGCCTTTGACGATCCGAGATAAAGGTTCCAAAACAAGACCATCAGTTTTTGGTCATTTTGAACGTTCCGAAACGTCGGGGCAAGACGAAAACCTAACGGTAGACAGCGGTCGACACCACGCAAAAAACATCTAAAGCGAAACACGATTTCCTTTCAGTCAAATATCTGTTTCGCTCAACCCTAACGTTTTGAACCAAAACAGATAAGTTTTTCCATTTCACAAATCATGACAAACAGATAACAATTGGGATTCACACGATACTGTGACGTAAAATAACCATAACCGTTTATCATTTTTTTGGAAAACGAAAATATTTCTGTTCAAATTTCAATTTTTATTTATTAAAATTTCAAGCCAACGCAGCAAAGAAAAAAAACGACTCATCACAAAGTTTTACCCTTTGATTTTGATCTCATCCTTCCCCAAAAATTCAGTTTACTAAAGTTGAGAAATAGGACGTTTAGAATATCCGTGCTGATTCGTATCGTAACTGAACTGAACTGAACTGAATATTCTTTACAAATTAATTATTATATATGTTAATTAATTAAATTACATTCAATTTTTCAATCGTATTTCCTTTTATATACAACGGTGTTAGTTTTGCAACCAATCAATAGGGATGTTAATGATCTGGTCTTAGGTATCAAAGACTGTTTGAATTTTTTAAAAATAAAAGCATTTAATTTGTTAAATATTATTTTATTATCATAATTAAAAAAATAATATATACAAACAAAATTCATTGTCTCAATAAATGACAGAGTTTCTACTCGTAATATAAATTCTTATTCGGATTATTCGTAATGCAACACAATCTAATTCGAATTATTTGTTTTACGTCATTTTATTCGTTGATTCAAATCACTCGTTTTAATTGTTTTATCAGTTATTCAAATTAATCGTTTTATTCAAATTATTTGAATTACTTGTTTTATTTTGTTTTATTCGAATTATTCGTTTTATCGAATTATTCATTTCATTGTTTGATTCGGATTATTCGAATTATTTGTTATGTTATTTTATTCGTTTATTCGTTTTATTCGAATAAACTTTCAATATAATTTGAATACTCAAACTCATAATAACAACGAATTTGGTTGAATGTACAGGTATAGAATTTGCCTATGAATACAAGAATGACAAGAATGTGGTACTCGGCAATGATCAAAGTGCTCAAGATGCCATTATAAGGACACAGCCAGTCAATCAAAATTTTATGAAAGAAATGTATACAGTATTTTTATTTACGGAATATGAATTATGATTAACTAACTATTGGCAAAGCATGCATATTTTTCATATAAGAATACTTGAAAAAATATGGATCTTCACAATTTCAATTGAACTTTTGAAATAAGTATATTTTGTTATATGTGTATTCAAAACTACAATGAAACATTAGGTGCCTGTCCCATTTTTTAAACAGGGTACTTCAATGTCGAAGAAAGTAATGAAGATTGCCCAAGGAAATTAAGGTTTGTTGGATATAAAAACATTTTAATTCGTGATCTACGTAGTAAAATTCCGGGATAAATCAGTGTGCAGAAATAGCACAATATTTTATACACTGCCTGGAAGAAAGTATCCGAACCTCGATTTTTATTAATTCCGCAAACTTTTACATAATTAAAAAAAATTTTAAAAATATTACCATGTAGCTTAGGTTCTAACGAATGTGCATGCAATCTTTCACAATTCTGCTATTTATAATAATTTTTTAACCAAAAA